CTAGTTGCCCAGGCTGGTCTGGAACTCCTGGCCTCAAGCAGTCCTTCCACCTTGACCTCCCAAAGTGCTGGGATTATAGGCGTGAGCCACTGCGCCTGGCCTCTCTTGACTTTTTGAAAATTCTGGCAGAGGGGGAAGCACAAGTCTCTGATCTGAGGAGTTGAAGTGGGCCTGGTCGGCGCTTCCCTTAGTTCACTTTCAGCTCTTACAGAGGCTTAGGCAGTTGTTTGCTGGCCTCATTCACTTAACAAATACTTGGCAGTTTTTATGACCCTTAAGTAGTCTCAAGAAAACTTTGACCATCAGTTTTTAAAATTTAAGATTTCTGGCAAGGCGCAGTGGCTCACACCTGTAGTCGCAGCACTTTGGGAGGCTGAGATGGCCGGATCACGAGGTCAGGAGATCGAGACCATCCTGGCTAACACGGTGAAACCCCGTCTCTACTAAAAAATACAAAAAATTAGCCGGGCGTGGTGGCGGGCGCCTGTAGTCCCAGCTACTCGGGAGACTGAGGCAGGAGAATGGTGTGAACCTGGGAGGCGGAGCTTGCAGTGAGCTGAGATCACGCCACTGCACTCCAGCCTGGGTGACAGAGTGAGACTCCGTCTCAAAAAATAAAATAAAATTTAAGATTTCTCCTGACATCCTTCAAAGTACGGCTTTGTTCTGGGCCTCCTAGCTTTGTGGCCTTTGCCCAGGACTCCTGGCCGGATGAAGCCTACATCTGGTGAGTTTGGTTTTTAGCCAAAAGCAGATCTTGGGCATTGAATCCTAGAGCTGGAGGGAAAGTCTCTAAGGGGCCAGATGATCTCTGCCTCCATAAACCAGGAATCCAAAGTCAGGAGAGGGAAAGCTGGATCATAGGTGTGCCCTGGCTAGAACTGGGAGCCTTTGCGTCCTGTCAGCGTGCTATGGTAGAGCCAGGGGGCTCAGTCACTTCCCCTCCAAACACTCATCCTGTGCAGAAACAGGCCAGTGTGTCCCTGCAAGACAAGCCTCAGAGCACCACCTCCTGCCAGCAGCCTGCTGCCTCCTGGGAGGGATCTGGAACCCTTGACCTAAGAGCGTGTGGCCCTGGTCTCTCTGCCGGCACTGGGGCCCCTGTGCAGACCAGCAGTGTGGTCACAGGTCAGCCTCCAGCCAGGGAGCAGTATCCTGCCCCAGTGGTGAGGTTCTTCCTGTTCTCTCCACCACCTTAGCCTGCATGTGGCCATTCGCTGCCTTGGCCAGACCTTAGAAAGAGCATTCCAGGAGTTGAGGGAGAGGCTGTGAGGGCACAGAAAATCCCAAGCCATTTCTGGGTGGCTCAGGAATACAATCAGGCTCCCATCAGCCCTGGCTCACCCCTTCCCTGGAAATGCCTAGGGCTTCTTGACCTTTGCCTTTGCTGTGCCATGCCTGCCAATGGGAATATCCTCCTTACGGTTGGAACCTGTGGGAGCTGGGGTCAGCCCACAGGCCCAACTCAAAAGCTCTGACTGTCACAAAGGGTGCCTGGCTTACCCACAGATAGACCTGGCTTGCTTCTTCCCAGTGCCTGGAATTTGTGCGTTGTACCAGGCACTCAGCTTTTCTAGCCCCCCAAGGATATGAGGATACCTCCCTCTATCCCTGTCTTCCAGGCACTGCACATTTAGACATAATCTCTTAACAATGTCACAGAGAGGGTAATGGTCCCATTTTACAAATAAACTGAGGCTCAGAGATGTCATATCTTGTCAAAAGCTATGGATGGCAAAGCTTGGAGATCACTCAAGAACCCCCTTCAACCTCAGCTGCATGTCTCCCAACTAGGGCTGAGTCCCTCCAGGTAGGGCCTGGCCCAGCCCATGGCCAATACCTAGTAAATGCTTGTGAGATGAATTAGTTGGTGGATTAAGCCTGCAGGGGGCCCTTATCTCTATGCTAACCTGAGTTTGAAAGGGTTGTTTTGTACTTTTTAGTTTAGTGGGGAAGGGGCACAGAGATTCCATGCCCTCCCTGGACATGCCACCCTCCCTCCAGGAACCTCCATGCATGTAGCTATCTGGAAGCTCCAAAAGTGGTTTTGTGATTAAGTGAGGTATTGCGCTCCGTTAAGTGCTTTGCTCATGCCTGGTGGTGGTGAACAGTGTCTGTTAGAAGGCAGAGTGGAGAGCCATGTGTCTCCATCAGTGCCCGCCCTCTGGGGGCACCTAAAATGACCCTTCGCTTCAGAACCCAAAGCTCCTCTGGCTAAGGTGGGGGCCAATTTGGGTCCCTAGAAACAGCACTGGACACAGCAGCACTGCTTGAGTTCTGTGATCACTATGCCTTGGGATGCAGGGGAGTTCCTAGGCATTGGAGGGTTAACTGGGAACTTAACCCTCTACAAAAGAGCTTCCCATGGGAAAGGGGGGTCATCGGGGAATGCAGGTTGCCCCATTCTAGCTCAACCTACAGTGACCTCTGCTTTACATAATCACAATCCTTACAAACACCCCAAAAGCAAGGTTCCCTTGTTATCCTTAGTACTCAGATCAGAAAACTGAGGTTTGCAGAGGGCCAACCTGTCCTTGGTCACAGGGCTAGAAAGTGAGGGACATGGGATGGAAACCCAGATCCATTAGATCCTGAAGCCAGGATCCTGTTGTTCTCCAGGCTAAGCCACCAATTTAGGACAAATAGAACATGCTGGGAATTGGGGCTTATTGGAGATGATGAAAACAAAGGCCTGAGGTTTAAGTGGCTCTGTTGTAGACAAACATTGAACCCCCTGGAAGCCTGAGCTTTCTTTCAACAGTGTTCAGAGTAATGGGAGAAAAATTAATTCCCAACAAGGCCTCTCCGAGTGCAAAGCAATGGTGGGCAAACCGGGAAATCACCAAAAAGCAGCCTGGGTCTCACAGGCTAGTAGCAGGGTCCTGCCACTCCACCGCAGCTGGTGGTGACAGAGCTGGCTCTCCTGACATAGGGATTAGAAGGGAGTATGCTGGGCCAGGGCTTACTGTGGCTACCCTGTTTCTGGAGTAAGCACTGCCCCAGCCAGGAGCCCTTTGGCAGTCCCCCGAGGGGCTGGGGTGGGACACGGTGCTGCTTGCCTGTCCACATGTTCTGCCTGGAACAAAATCCAGGGCCGCTGGGACTTCACCTGACTCTCATGTGTACATGGGGCCCTGGTTCCTTCTGGGGGTACATTGGGCTGAGGGGGAACGTTCATCTCTTGTTTCATCCTCACATTAATCTGTCCATTCACTGCTACCCCCATCCCTTACCATAACCAAACAAAGCAGGTGCAGATGTTTGAATTAACAAGAGCAAAGTCTGATAACAAAAAGCAAATTTATTACCCAAAACTAGTAAAGGGGGAAGTAGCCAGATTGCTATTTAAAGTAACTGCTTCAATTTTTAGTGGGGAAAGCAATTTTGGGGGGTTTTAAAAGGGAAGACTTGATAAGGAAGGCATGCAAGAACTGGGCTGAGTATGATGTCTGTGTGTTTTGTCCTGGTGGCTAGCTTGGGTTTCAGTCCACCTGGACTTCGGATTGACATTATTTTAACAATGGCCAGGTTGTTAATTAGCCATTTTGAAGTAATTTTTGGAGGTTCGCAGCTGGGTCTCCAGACTTGGTCTGTCTCAAGACTAGCCCCTGAAACTTCTAAGACATCACACAATTAAATAGTAGCATACAGTTAGATAAATGAAAAGGGAGCATATCCGGTGAGAAAGGGGAGGGATGTGGAGTCGATTTTAAGGCTAAGGAGAAAGGCTTTTGAGTTGCCTCAAGGTTACATTTTGAAACCCAAGAGAATGGGGAAAAAAGGTTTAAAATGCATGAAGTTAAGCTGCGGGCTACATTGCTTCTCTGATAATCTGCTACTCAGCTTCCCTGCTCGTTCACTCTGCACCAGCCACTCTGACCTCCTTGCTGTTCCCCTAACACATGAGCCATGCCTGTAGTCCGCGGCCTCTGCACTGACTGTTCCTCTGCTAGGAGTGTTTTGGCCCCCTGGCTCACTTCATACCTTCAAATGTCATCTTCTCAGTGAGGCTTACATTAGTCAACCCTTTCTCAGAGGCTTCACTCCACCCCCCAATCTCTTGCCAGCAATCTTGCCAGCAATCTTGCCAGCAAATAGCCCTTGTTACAGCCTGCACTTTTTTCCAAATACTTTCTACCTTCTTTTTTTTTTTCTTTTTTTTGAGAGGGAGTCTCGCTGTGTCGCCCAGGCTGGAGTGCAGCGGCGGGATCTCAGCTCACTGCAAGCTCCGCCTCCCGGGTTCACACCATTCTCCTGCCTCAGCCTCCTGAGTAGCTGGGACTACAGGCGCCCGCCACCAAGCCCCGCTAATTTTTTGTGTTTTTTTGTTTTTTTGTTTTTTTTTTTTAGTAGAGACGGGGTTTCACCGTGTTAGCCAGGATGGTCTGAATCTCCTGACCTCGTGATCCACCTGTCTCGGCCTCCCAAAGTGCTGGGATTACAGGCGTTGAGCCACCGCGTCCGGCCCTTTCTACCTTTGTATATACCAGTTACCTGTTGTCTCTTCCCCCACTAGAAGGTAAGCTTCATGAGAACAGAAGTTGTCTTTTTCCTTGCTGTTTCCCTATTTAAGCAATGAATTCAGGAACCTGTGAGTAGGGATCAAGCTCCTCTTTCACACAGAAGAAACACCTGGCCTTGGATGGGTGAAGGGCTTTATCGCAGCTGGCGCTGGGTGGAGCCGGAGTGTGAGCAGCGCCCATACTGCTCCTCGCCTCTTCCACACACCCAGAATCCTCCCCAGTGACCCAGGACCAGGCGGCTGCGGGGGGGCCGAGAGCCTTCACTAAATGTGACACATCAGTGACTACAGCCCTGAAATTGAAATTGGAAGCCCAGGCTTGTGTTCATGTCCAGCAAATCCAACAGGTGAAAAATCTAGCTTGTCATCAGCTTATAATGGTTCCATTATCAAAAAAAGCTCAGCCAGGGCTGCTGGTTTTGTTTTTAAATGTTTGAGGCTTTTTTTTTCTTCCAAATCATTTATTTTTCTCTTATGATATGAGAACAGTAGAAAATATGGGTAACTATGCAGTTTATGTAAGCATTCAACAATTGGGAGCGAATTTTCTACAATCGCGAGTGCGGTCACTCCGGGAGCGCATCCGCCCCAAGAAAGGTGGGCAGGCAGACGCGCGTGCGGGCAAAACCTCAAAGAGAAGCGCCTGTGGTGGCTCTTTCTGCCCCTGCTTCCCCTCCTGGTGCTTTACCGAGATCACTACCGGGGGCCCTGGAGACGGCGGTCCCCAGGGCACTCCGGGAGCCGACAGAATCTCGCGGGGTCGCTCTGCCCGGAGGCTCTCCAGACCCCTGCGCGCGGCAGCCCTGGCCCCAGTCACCCCTGCGCGCAAGCCCGCGAACTCCGAGTGGTCAGGTCCTCCCCACCGAGGTGATTTCGATTCAACGGCGATCGGAGTCCCCGAGGAAGGTGCAGGCGCCTCCCGCCGCCGTGGGGAGCGCACAGCAGAAAGCCTGGGGCGTAAGCAAGAGGGGAAAGGAGGTGGTGTTGAGTGAGAACCAGCTGAGTGTTTTCCAAACATCCATTTAATCTTGGGTTTATCCTATGTATAAAATCTTAACGTGAGGTAGGCTTTCTTATTCCCACTGTGCAGACAGGGAAAATGAGGCTCAGAAGATGTGGTAGTGGTCTGCAAGGTGGAAGAGCTGGGTTCGCAGCCAGGACGGTCTGAGGCTGCGCTCCTTCCCCGGGGGCCGCGGCAGGTCGGTGTCTAGCGCGGCAGAAGCTTGCCGAGGGCCGCGGCAGGCGCGCGCGGGCGCGGGGGCTGGTCGGGCAGCATGGCTGCGCTGTGCTCTGCCCGCAGGGCCAGGCGCGGGCACGCGGCGCGCAGGTGGCGCAGGCCGGCCGCGCTCACGTTGCGGCAGAAGTCCACGTGCAGTGTCTGCAGCGCGCGCCCGTCCGCCGCCACGGCCGCCAGCGTGCGGTTGGTGACGCGCGCGCAGTTCTCCAGGCGCAGTGCGCGCAGGCGTGGGCAGCAGCGCAGGAGGCGGGCCAGGCAGTCGTCGGTGACGTGGCCGCAGCCCGACAGCGTGACAGACGCCAGGTTGGGGCACCTGTGAGGAGAGTGCGGTGACCCGGGGCTCGCTGGCTTGTTAAAGCCACCCAACCGCCCCGGGAACTGGGTGGACTCATTTACCGAGGAGGACTCGGGCCCTGCGAGGTGAAGACACTTGGCTGCGATGACACGGCAGGGTTCCACGTCGACTTTCTGGCCGACCCATTTTCCCTGTTCTTTCTGCCCCTGCACCCCACCGTACCTTCATTTGCATGGGTTCTTGGCTCGTAGCCTCGGGAGCCCTAGTGGGAAGCCCTGACCCCGGCCCAACAGAGTTCTGGGGCGGCTGTGGACAGAGGGAATGCCGGTTCTAGGAGCCACAGCCCTTGTTTCTTTGTTTCACTCTGGATGTGCTGCCTTGCAGGGGAGCGGTGCGTGGCGACTGACTGCTCCAGTCTAGCTTCAAGCCTGAGGCCCCTAAATGTCCCGGCGGGACGTGAGTGGGAAGAGGGATTTGTTTCCTTGGAGGTGGCTTAGTGACAGGCCCATCCCAACCCTCGAGGCGGTGGGGGCACGCGTCAGCATTGAGTCCGGGTTCAGCTTAGTTGACTAGAGCTGTTTCTGCATCCCCTGGGCCACCAGCCTGGAAGAGGGCAGGGATTGGAGGCAGCTAGACGCAGGCCCTGAGCAGGTACAATCAGGGACACCCACCCAGGTGGCTTGCCCAGAAAGCTTGGGGCAACTCTGCTGCAGCCTCACCAGCTCCTCAACAAAAAAAAGATCTTGAGCCAAGTTAGACTTGGCTTATCGCCGTGTCAGTCACTCAGAGAGCCTTCGTTTCCTCTGCATGGGGGAATAATGTCTACCACACTGGGGTTGTGAGGAGCCTGCAACAGGGCCTTCCACAGGCAGTCATAACCCGCTTTCCCTGGAAACAAACGGGACCAGCCTGCTTCCAGTCCAGAAGGACGGACTAATGGGCCAGGGCCTTGGCTCCGCGCAGCCAGAGGGAGCTAGAGTCTGGGCTGGGGAAGCGTTTCCCTTTCCCCGTCAGCCTCCCCTGCAGCTCCGTGACTGCCCCTGGCTGGGCCAGCTCAGCTCCTTTGTGCCTGGGGTGGGAAGTAAGGCACTAAAATATGCTGGGCGCAGCCAGGTGTCACACCGAGCCCAGGCCTCCTTCAGGTTCATGCGCCTTCATTAGTCACCCCGTCAACCTCTGCACCCCTAGTTTTGTAAGTGAAGAAACTGGCCCAGGGAGCTCAAGTGACTGGCCGGTGACTGACTTGCTGTCAAACCCAGGACAGATGTCTGAACCTTGCTGAGCGCCACTTTCTCATTTGTCAAGTGGGAGGAATTGTTACCTTCAAGGTGGTTATAAGGATTAGGTGTTTAAGCCTCAAAGGTGTTGGGTGATCTTTTCCTCTAAGAATCTTTGGAATAATTCTGATACAGGGAAAAAACAAAGAGTGAACTGTCTCCCTGCCCAGCCATCCTCAGCCATTCCTCCCGACCTGAGCCGAGTGCCAGAAGAACCAGATTCGGTAGACGTTCATCAGTACCTACTATGTGCCAGGTGCCACTATGTCATTCTCTTATCGGATAAGAAAAATTTAGCACGTTTTACAGAAGGAGAAATGAGGTTGCAAGAGTTTAAATATTTGAGCTGGGATCACATGGTTGGACAAACTGGGTGACCCAGCAGAGCCCTGACAGCAAAGCCTTTTGCTTTTTATGTGACAGCAGGGCCCCTTGCTTGATCAGTACAGTGGCCTGGGAGGTCCACTTCACACCTGCAGGTTTGGAGCATTAAGCTCGGTTCTCTTACAGTAAGAATGGAACAATTTCAGGACATGTTCTGCCATTCGCACCCTGCTCCGCCGCCGCCCCCGCCGCCTCGCCCCTCGCCATATCACTCTCTAGTCTGATTCTTGGGCCTTGTTAAGCCCATGAAAATGACCTTGTCCAGTTAGGGCCCAGCCCCAAGTCCATCTTCTGTTTTCTCCCAGCTCAAAAGAAAGGTGGGGTCACGACGCTGTTTCCTTCCACTCCTGTAGTGCTGCCAGCAAATAGCAACTATGAACTTGGGTGGCAGTAAACTGGCTGAGCCTAGTTTTCCATGAACAGCAGGCCCAGTTTGATCAAGGGGGTGTTATCCTCAAAGGCAGCACAGGACTGGCAGAGGCTCAGTGAGAGGCTGGTTGAGTAGCTCCGTGTTCTTGCCTGGGTCACTATACCCATGAGGCTGGGGCCGTGGAGGGAGCCTGGCCTGGTGGTTCAGCGTCTATGTCTGTGTCTGGGGTGGGGTTAGCAGATAAACACAAGATGTACTTGGGACATACTTATACTAAAATATTATTCACTGTTTATCTGAAATTCCTATTTAACTGGGCAGCCTATATATTTGCTAGAATCTGGCAACCCTAGACTGTGGGCAAGTCACACCACCTCGCGGAGCATCAGTTTGCTAATTTGAAAAATTAGGCTAAGTCACCCTCGTTAGGAGTACTGTGTAACTCAGTAATTCATCTACTCCTGGAGTCTGGTTTGGCTTAGCTGACCCCAGCACCCTGGCTCCCCCACCTCTCTCCTCCGCATCGTTTCCCAGGCCTCGGGGGCTGCTTGCTAGGCCTAAGGGAGGGGTGAGCTGATTGCTGCATCTGGAAGCCTTTTCCCAGAGCCTGACCTTGAAAATCCAGGCCCAGCTGGACCCACCCAGCACTTAATGACTACCAGTATGGAGGCCCCACTTCTTGGTGTTTGCATGAAGCAGCTCCAGGACCTGTGAGGCTAAGAGGAGGATTAGCAATTGTTTCCCTCTTGATTTTATCATCTCCTGGGGACCATGCTTTGGGCGGGTCTGGATGTCTGCCTTGGGCCTGCCTAGTCTGAGGCACCCCAAAGGTGGAGGAGCCATCTTGGTCTCGTAATTTGCTCTTCCCTGCCCCCCAAGAGGGAAGCCAGAGCTAGCGGGGCCAGCACTGCTCAGGAGGCAAGGTGGCCTACCTGTCGCACACCTGGAGGAGGAAATCATTGACCAGGCTCTCGTGCCGGCTGCAGATGCTTCTCTGGAAGGCACTCTTGAGCCAGTCCTCGATGCTGCACACCTGCACGCGGCTGGAGTGCCAACAGATGGAGAGGCTGCGGAGGGCCGGGCCCAGGAGGAAGTTGTCCTTCTGGAGTTCAGTGAGGGAACGGAAGTGCAGCAGGGACCACAGTGCGGGGTCCTCAAACACGTCGTGGAGCTGGGAGCAGGTCCTGGCGAGGCTCTTCCTGCTGTCCTTGTCTAGGAAGGAGAAGAGGTGCAGCAGGCACTCCCGGTTGAGCTGGGTTATGTGCATGGTGAGCAGTGGCCACATGTGAGCGCAGCTGCAGCCAGGGGACGGCTGACCTGCCTGCTCTCCTCCTCCCCGGCTCTGGGCCGGTGGACATATATGGTTGAGGAATGGTGTTTATTTTTGGCTAACAACTGGTGCTGCAGCTCTGCGGAGGGGTGAGGGAAGAAAAGCCAGGACCCAGACATACGTGCGGCAGTCTGTGGTTCGGCTTCTGTTCAGAGGGATTGGAGGTCCTGGCAGAAAAGGAGCCTATTGAAGTTACTTTCCTTAAAAGGGATTTTTTTCCCTTTAGCTGACAATGGTGTTTAGCGGCAAGCACTTTTGGCGTTTCCCAAGGCATTTTCATTGGCGGTGGCAGTGGCGGTGGCCAGGCCAGCTCCGTCTGGCTTTGCAGTCTCTACTCACGGGGAAGGAGTCTAATTGTAAATGTTAACTGTGTTGATTTTCTAGTACATCAGTGTGGAATCTTTTGCTCCACCCTTACTAGGAAGAAACCTGTTGTGTGTGAAGAGCTATGACAGCTGTGAGTTGTGAGCAGAGTACATGGCTGCTGCCTCATTCCTGTGGTTTTGTGCCACACACTAATTGTCTCCAGGCGAGGCTGGTTGGCCTTCAAGTCCTGCTGCCTGCCACTAGGCAGGGGGATTTTCCTGGCCTCCCCAACAGCTAGATTTTTACCCTGAGTTGTTTCATAAAAGATTTTACTGGGGGCCGGGTGCGGTAGCTCACGCCTGCAATCCTAGCACTTTGGGAGGCCAAGGCGGGTGGATCACTTGAGGTCAGGAGTTCAAGACCAGCCTGGCCAACATGGTGAAACCCTGTCTCTACCAAAAAATACAACAACAAAAAAAAAAAAAAAAAAAGATTTTACTGAAGTAGCTTCTTTCCAAAGTTGTGTGTCTGGTGTGTCTGTGTTTTACTGGTGTTTTGTTGTTGATTGTATAGTTTTGGTCAAGCAGTACTGAGTGTGTTTTAAATTTAAATTTACTTGGTTTTACATTTTCTCACTGGTAAGGCCTTCTACTATATGTGTATAACCTGTATTTCCCAAAATGTCAGGATGGATGAGGTAGGTGAAACTGCTTGAAACAATTTTAATATTTTAGTCCATCTTTGCCTTTAAGTTGACCACACATCATCCGCTCTGAGTGCCCTCTGTTCCCTCTTGGCGAAGCCAGTGGGGCCACCCCTGCCCTCTCTGACTCAACTCTAGGCCAGGTTGCCTGGAGGTACTATCCTTCCTGAGTACCCGAGGCCTTACGATATGGCAGACCCGTTTCCTCATGCTGCTTCACTCCCAAACCCAGGACCCAAACTTGACTCCCTTTGAATCCCAGGCGTTTTTTGGTTTGCTTGGGGGATGCTAATATGGTGCAGCTGTACAGGCCACGTTCTGCCTAGGCAATAGTGAGAAGAGAACGGTTTTTCCTCTGCCAGCCCAGGGACTACCACCTCAGTGGTTACTTTTGCTTGTTCTCCCATTTGGAACAAGAGGGAATGGGAATCCTTTTGTTTTCCCATAGACACAAATGAAGCAGCCTATGCTGAACCCACTTCTGGAACTAAGGTTTGGTCAGGGCTGGTGCAGCTTTGCCTTTAAATTAAGGCAGAAGGCAGTCAAGCAAAGAAGAAAGTAGCCATTGTCAGTGGCTTTCCTGAGAAGCCAGCCTCAGCTGGTGCCCCTGTGCCTCCATTACTCCACCGTGCCAAGATGAAGTGCAGTGGGGAGGGGGGGGGGTTCTCTTAAAAACAAACCAAGGAACAGTCAAAAGGAAGCATTTCCCAAGGAAGGGGAGCCAGCTACTGCTGCTATTTCAAGCTCATCGATGTAGTTCTCAATTACAGCTGACACCCTAGTTTAGGCTCTGTCTAGGTGTACTTCTCCACTTAAAATGGATGCTGCAGTGCCACAGGTGGTGTTATTAGAAAGCTGCATTATCTTCACTTTCCCTCCCCAATCCTCCACAAACCAATGCTTTTCAGAGGGTTGACCCTTAGGAATAGGTGGTTCTTTCAACTTCTTGCAAGGCCAGAGCGGTACTTGTGCCTTCCACTGAGTAAGAGCCACTGCTTCAGCATGGCTTCCACGTTGCACTACTGCAGCCCTGCTGGAATGGCAAAAGATTGGCAGGGAGCATATTTAGAGCCTTGCCTCTCTGCTGTCGCTCCAGGTAGGCTGCAGGAAGCATCCTGGACTACCAGGGCCGGGGGGAACGTGCTCCTGCATGCTGCAGAGGGTCTGAGGCACAGCCAGAGGAGGTGACGAAGCTGTGCCCCTTTGGCCTTGTCCAGAGCTAGGTGGTTTGGCAGCAGTGACAGCAACCACGCAGCCTCTGACCAGCACAGCTGCCAAAAGAGAATGTGCCCCATGGAATAAGGATGCATAACAGTTTGAACTGCAGGAACCTGTGTCTTCAATTTTAGAAGACAAGAACAGGCAAAGGACGAATGTCGAAACAGGGTTCCGTCTGCAGGAGGCATGGGGGCAGAGTAGTCTACAGGAACTTAACTGTAAGCAGGATGTTTATTTAACAGCAGTTACTTGCCTGTTTTACCTTAAAAGATGACCAATATCCTTTGCTCAGAACCCCAAAACTCATGCCTCAGGGTACAGTCTAGCTCTAAAGGGGAGGGAAGGGGCCTCATTTTTGTAAGATCAGTAGTCACAAGAGACTGAGGTGATTTCACTGAGCAAGGGTGAGTGGGACCTCAGGCACCTGACTGCAGGCACTAATCTCCCGGCCATCACTTTGCCCGTACAGGTCACTTCATCCTGTTCCAGGTACAGCAGCTCCAAATCGTGGGGATTCTGTAAGAGCCTCCTACCTGTTGACTGAGGAGGCCCACAAGTTGAGTAAGTACATCATCATCTATGTGGCTCCACTGAAAAAAGGTGTTCAGAAATAAGTCAAAAGGAAAGAGAACAGACTTTTAATGATACTTTTTAAAACAGTTCAGGTTGGTGAAGCAGAAAAGGGATGTGATTACAATTTAAATGAATCAGTCACTTGCACAATTAATCTTCTTGGCATCATACACACTGGGTTTTAATGGAAAATGATGACATCACAGCATGACCAACGCTCATGGAAGGCAGTCTAGAGTCCATCACGCTCACACCTGAGGGGGAAGGCATTGCACCCACTGACGAGACGCAGAGACCTTGGACTACAGACGACACCACATGCCCACTTCTTCCTCGCCTGCCTATGGCTACTCCTAGTCACCTGGGACCCAGGCCTTGGCTGCAGGAACAGACTTTTTCCATGGGCTTTTCCGGGGCCCAAGTGAAGAGGCCACTTCAGCAACAGAGGGTACAGGAGAGAGTTTAGGGGCTGGTGGAGATTAAAGTGGGATAAGTATATCTAAATAGACTTATGTACACTAAACCAATGAAGGAGAGGTTTAGCTTTAAGAAATAAATATGTCCCCAACCCCAGAAACCAAGCTGCTGAGTAGGTTCCACAGGTGAGATACACATTTAACACTCACTCTGGGCCAGTATACTTGACTGGTTTAATTCTAGCATATTTGTCATCACTATACACTGAGTAGAATACAGTGGATAAGCAAAGGTTTCTCCACCATGGAGAGAGATTTGTGTTGCCACAAACTGTTTCTATCACCCACCTGTGTGGGAGGACTTCTGAGAAAGTTTTCTTGTTCCAAGGAGCCATGTGACTCAGTGCGAGGCCCTGCCTCAGCAGAAGCTCTGAGCGAGAAGCCACATATATTGCTGGAGACAACATGGCACACGGGAAAAGCCCTGAAGAGCACAAAAGATCAGCTTTCAAAATAGGTGTGGTAAGCCTACACAGTTAAAAATTAAAATACAATAGGCACATTTACATCACTGGTGTTCAAGTGCACAATTCAAATGGATCCAATCACTTTTCTAAAGAATCTTCATACCATTCAAACGTTTCTGTTCAAGTAAAACCAACCAATAAAAACAAATTCAGAGAGAAGACGTGTTCATCTCTTAAGCCAACAGCATCACCTGTCTGAAGACCACTCTGCCCGACAAAGTCGTCCAATGTTGCTAAAGCTCCATTTGGTATAAAAATACGGCTTTTTTTCACCATCACCTCTGCCCAGGCCCTTACTGTTCAACAGCTGCCCATTCAGAGACTGAAGATGGAAGGATCAATGCTAGAGGTTACAGCTGTCTACCTTCTAAGCAAAAGAGCCCGGATTCATAGGAGATACTTCGCACGATCACAGGAGACACTCACATTTTAGGTTCAATTAGATGTGGTGTTAATGTGTGATACATCAGATCAGGTTGGAGCTGTCATTTTTGTAGATCAGAACTCGTCAAACAGCAGAGTTTCATACAGTTTAACCTAATGTAATTTAGCACTGTAAATTAACTTAAGCACACATTTCCCTGTTATCTTTTAGGACTCCAAGTTGTAAGACCTAAACATGATGGCAAAGCTTTATTCTTTGGAGTGAAAATTTAGAGCAGCACTGTCCTATGCTGTCTGCGGGTGCTGAGCACTTGAAATGTGGCTAGTGTGACTGAAGGCACTGAGTTTCTAATTTCAATTTCAATCACATGTGGCTAGGGGCCATTGTACTGGATGATATAAGTTTACACATAATTGCAATTTGTTCCTTGTCATCTTAAAGTGTTTAGCAGATGTGTTCTGGGAAGATGTGGGATTTATCCAGTTAATATTAAAATGGAAATGGAGCTACATCTGCTCCCACAACTTCAGATACCAACCTGAGGGAAAGCCATCAGACTGTTCTTACATTCATAAACTTAAAAATAAAAAATGATCAAGATGTTTTTAATAGAACAGGCTGGGTGTGGTGGCTCATGCCTGTAATCCCAGCACCTTGGGAAGCCAAGGCGGGTGGATCACTTGAGCCCAGGAGTGCAAGACCAGCCTGGGCAACATGGTGAAACCCCATCTCCAGTAAAAATATTAAAAATTAGCTGGGTGTGGTGGTGCCAGCTACTTCGAGTCTAAAGTGGGAGGATAGCTTGAGCCTGGGAGGTTGAGGCTACAGTGAGCTGTGATCATGCCACTGCGCTCCAACCTGAGGGACAGAGTAAGACTCCATCTAAAAAAAGAAAAAAAAAATGTCTGAAAGTTTTGTTGGCTTAATACAAGATACATTTTGTTCCTTGTGGAGAATTGGTAGGCTATGTCTACCAACGCCCCCCCCAACCAAAAAAAAAAAAAAAAAAATCAAAGGACTGTCTTAGAACACTTGTAGAAACTACAACTGCTTTCTTTAAATGGGATTCTGTTTCCAAATTTGAATTTGAGTTAAATCTATTTTTTAAAAACAAAACTGGCTGGGTGTGGTGTGGTGAGGCGGGCAGATCACCTGAGGTCAGGAGTTCGAGACCATCCTAGCCAACATGGTAAACCCCTGTCTTTACTAAAAATCCAAAAAAAAAAAAAAAAAAAATAGCCAGGTGTAGTGGTGGGCACCTGTAATCCCAGCTACTTGGGAGGCTGAGGGTGCAGTGAGCTGAGATCATGCCACTGCACTCTAGCCTGGGCAACAGAGCGAGATTCTTGTCTCCAAAAAAAACCCCAAAAAACAAAACGAAAACTCTCCTTACTCAAAATGAGAATACTTTCAACTTCTCCTCTCAGGATAGGCCAGTGAGAGGTGTTAAAACCCAGAGCAGCAGAGATTCTAAATGTCCTCCGGTGGAAGCACACCCCCAGTGATAAACTGAAGTGCAGGTGATGAGCCAAGTAAATCCCAGAGGCTCACACCTCAGACTCAGGTGCCAAACACAAGCAGTAAGTCTAAAATGGACATGCCGTGACTTCCAGTGCTACAACTAAGGGGAAATGAGAGACTGATTCAAAAAGGAGGCAGACGCCATGGCTTTACCTCACTGTAACACCTATACCATGTCAGTGAGTCACAACTTTTTTTTAAACATTACATGTATTTGGTCTTTACTCCCATCTTACCTCCCTGCAAACAAGTACGCCCCAAAACCAAAAAACCAACAAAGAGAGTAATTCTTGTATTTGCAGGACAAGTACAACTGAACCAACAAATTTATTTAGTTAGTGCTGATAAACAGCAGCCTTGAGAGACAAGCAGTAATTACCTGGTCTACTTAATGATGCCCTTTGTTATCTTTTACAGGCAAAAAGAATGATTACTCAGCAGTCACTGTGAAATTTTGTGGGCCACAAGTTGTGTGCACACATGATCCTTGATTTAGAGACAACCTGATCTCCATTACAGCTGTGAAAAGACAGCAGGCAGTTGTGTCACTCTTCACAATAAGGAACGTATCTTGCTTTCAGCATGTGAGAGGAACAAAAGCATTGATGTAAATGTGCCTCATAGTGAGAACTGAAAACATTAACATAAAATAAAAAAGTCAAATAAGACTAAGTTCTTAAAACTACATATAAAAATTGAATTATTACAACTAAAGCAGCAAATCAAAACGTCTGCTGAGGTTTTCTGGTAGAACAACAACAAAATTAGTTGGTGCCCATGTTCAGTAAGTCACTACCATTGACAAAACTAAACCCAAAATAGGAAATTGAAAAGTGCATAATGAAATTAAATCTTGGATCAAGTATTTGTGGAAAACTGGAAATGTTTCTCTGGTATGGTTGATGAATGATGATTTGGAGGAGGTATTAAAGTTTATCTGATCCAGCTTTGGCCTGGCGTTCCACGTAGAAAAGGATGTAGGCCTTTGCCTTCACCACAGTCTCCTCGTCAGTCAGTGTTACAGTACTGTCATTGAAGTGGAACCAGCGGCCTTCGTGAGTTGCGTATGCTGTGTAATGTCCAGAACCAACCCTGTAAAGGCAAAAGACCAAAGGAAAAAAGGACCTCAGAAATCACAAAAAGACCTGTAAACTACATAATGTTAGATTTAAATTTTAGTAAGAATACATCCTAGACTTTTGATTTAAGATGCTTACTAAACTCATGTTTTTACCTTCATCCAAACTGACCAGAAATCGAGGGTTTGCTACAATACAAAGCAGATGGCCCTGGACTAATGGAGAAAATACAGAGGAGGAACTCTCAACCTAACGAGCACAGGTCAAGGCCTATGGAAACATGGAAAACTACGTACCAGGTTTTCCCATCAGAATCTTAGGAAAAAACTAAGCTTAACAAAGAAGGGCACCCTTCTCTGACACTGTGGTCATCGGGGCTCTCCCCGATCAGCATGACCCACCCACTCACACACGGAACCTTAGAGTCAGCCCTCCAAGAAAGACAGAAGCCCTGCAGGTAGAACAGGCCTTCGTAACTGCCAGCAAAACCCTATTTAAACAATAAAGATCCATCTCATCATTTACTATGCATTTACTATGATTCAGAATAAACCACCAAAACCAAATTTTAAAAATATTTAAGCCTTTTGCATGCCTACAAAATCAAATTTTTGAGAGGAAAGAAATACCAGGAAGAACAAGTAAAGTGATCAACCCTGAGGAATTGAATGCAGAAAACCTAGGGGAACTTTAAATCTTTTAATTAGTGCTAATAGTTTCAAAAAGATAGTGCAATCATAAAACAAGAATAGGCTGTTATGAAAAAGTTGTCAGAAAAATGTGATTGATGTAATATAAATATTTTATGGAGGAGCTAATCTTTTATTTGGATACAGATGAAACCCAAATTGGTGATTTGGAAAAGTAGGCCATGGCAGTCCTTAGAAACAGAGACAGAAATCATTAAAGAGTATTTAAGACATGTGGAAGAGAGATCCAGGAAATTCACTAGGCATATAATAGGGGGTACAGAGAACAAAGAATGGGTTCAGACCTACAGTATAAACATTTTCATGAGCTGAAGGCACCAAACTAAAAGTGTCCCTACCAACTACCAAGCAGGAATACATTTGATGATATTTAAGTCCAAAGATAGAGGATCCTACATACTTCCAAGGGGAAAAAAGCCAGGCGCCTATAAAGTAGTGAGAATCAGACTTGTCCTTCATAACACTATGTGAGTGTAGATGTTACTTTATTGATCTCACAGCTGTGCGGGAAAAGGATTTTCAACATGGATAGTCGTTTGCACACATATAGTAGTCTTAAGTTTGAAGGTAGAATAGCAACTCTCAGACCAAAAACCAGGTTAGACCCCTAATACAAACTTTTAGGGAAAGAAATTAGTGTTATTTAATAAGACTTAAAATGAATCTTTACAGTAGATGACATGGAGTAAGTTATTCCAAATAATTTCTCCTCTTGCCCCATTTAAATTTCAATTGGTAAAGGAATAAGCAACTTTGGAGTCTGTGGAAAAATAGACTGGGTTCTAAATACTGGGTTCAAATAAACCATTCTCCATTTCACTTTTATTTACCTTCCCTTAAGGCTTCACAACATCATCTCAAGAGTACTCTTCTATAGCAAAACTGAAGGAAATTTCACCTACTTTATCTGAATCCATTTCTTAGGGAGAAATATCAAGAGTGGTACAAAACTGCAGGTCATTGGGCTGGCCACCAGGTATTCCCACCCACCAGAAGCTAGCTGTTGTACTCACCCGGAACCATGGTGCACCACCACAGCGGCGAGGTCATACAGGCAGCTCTCCGGGCCACTGTTCTCAGGCTACAGAACAAGGAAGAAGGAGCAGTGGTCAATGACATCAGTATGTCAATGACCTCTAACCTCTCCGTGTGATGACAATCTTACTGAAGAGCCATTTTTTCACCATGCTAAAAAGGTAACCACCTTACCTCTAGTAAGTAGCATTTCATGTCTAGGCCTCTCAATGGAAATTCTACATATGTATCAACTTTATTTCTTAAATATGCTGTCCAGTGAAATCTTTTCAAATGTAAGCATAGCACCTGGAGGACAGAGATGAGGTCAAAGATTGTGAACACCTAAGTTACTTTTCAAAGTTTGATACTACTATCAGTTCAGTAAATAACATTTTAGCTGCCCTATCAATCATTCTTCCATGCATACCTTATGCATTCATTCTGTAAAGAGTTTAGCTTTTACTGAAAATCCTAGAGACATACAGAACAGTTCATATAGTGTAAAGTTATAGACATGGTCTTAGCAGTCAAGCATTTTTCCCATGAAATTGCTTCATAACTCAAAATTCAACACTCACCTTGGGTAGTTTTTGAATCCAAAACTTTTTTGTGGACTTTTGTTTCTTTTTGCATTTATGGCACATATATAACTCTGTCTCATCAAGTTCTTCTAAGTCAGTAAAACTGCGAAGACAATCTAAACAAATTGATTTTGGCAGCATTAAAACAAGATACCTTTTATAAAGCCAATGTACTGTAGAAAAAAGACTGAACTTTGAAGCTGAATGACGCAGGTTTAAAATCTCAGCTTTATTAGCTATACGACCTTAGAAAAGTTAACCTTTCTCAGTTGCAAACTGGAGACAAAAAATAATACCTACTTTGAAGAACTATTGTAAGGGAGACAAATAACATGTGTAAAGCACCTGGCGTCATGCCTGACATCTGGTGATCAATTGTGTTGGTTTTACTATTAATGAAAATTCATCTGGATAATTCTGATAAAATGGTTTCCTGATGAATTTAAAGTTTCAATTGTGGTTTTCTGTCAATATGTTACATGATAGAGGACAAAGCTCCAAGCTCATAAAAAAGTCAAATTTAGATCATTTAAAAATCAACATAGATCACAGAAGGCTATGCTATCAACATTCTCTGTCCAGACTCTGTACTCTCAGTTCCTAGATAAATCACAGCTACATTTTTTTTTTTGTTTAAAGATGTAATTGTGTAACCTGGGGTTTAGTAAACTACAGCCCTAAAACATCCAGCCAGCCACCTGGTTTTGTAAATAAAGTTTCACTGGAACACAGCCATGCCCATTTGTTTACATTACTGTCTGGCTGCTTTTACACTACACCAAACTCAGTCACTGGGGCAGAGATCTTATATGGTGCAAAGCCTAAAACACAGCAAGTCCTCACTTCATGTCATGGCAGGTTCTTGAAAAATGTGACTATGTGAAGCAATTTTTTTCTCATCAATTTTATAACTAAACGTTAAAGGAAACTGTTATTGGAGGAGCTGCTGTATGTCATTTTGCTTTAAACTTGCAGTTTCCAAGAAATTACTGATGACATTAAATGAAGACTTACTGTATTTACTCTCTGGCCCCTTTGCCAATTCCTGATGCAATCAGATATTCATAAATCTATATAAAACGCACGTTATTCTGTAGAAAAAATATGAATGCCTATGGACCCCACACTTGGATTTTCTCAAGTACTCAAGGAGCCAGGGTCTCTGTGCACGGCCTCTCCTAGAGTTGTGCAGTGGGCAACCTGTGCGGCCATGTGCTTCTTACCAAAAATAATTCCCCTTCCTCTGCCCCAGAAGTAGCCATTATCCTGACTTTTATGTTAATCATTTGTCTTTACAGAGCATGTATGTATCTTTAATGTATTAGTTTAAAGTTGGGTAGCAAGCAGAAACCTAGCTGTGTACAGAAAAGCACTCTTGTCTCTGTACTCAAGTTTCCAAGCCATAGTCAGCCTTTGTGTCTGTGACAGTAGCAGACGGCGCCCTTTCAGGGAAAGTTAGTGGAGGCAAGGTGTGGCAGAGGACTAGACAAAAGTCTTGAATATGGCTTTGTTGCCTGATCCCAGTACCTAGAAGGCACATCCTACGCCTGCCTCCCTACAACTCAATTCTCACTTCCTTCTTTGAACCTTTCTCAACCTCCAGTGGACAGTTACCATTCTTTCCTCAATTTTCCACAAATACTAGAATTGCCAACCTGCTCAACTTGCTATTTTATGTCAAGGATGGTTCCTGGGAAAGGATGTATTATATTTTGACATTACATTTCCTGAAGCAAGTCTCAGACTCTACACTCAAACTTGCAAATAGAGTGATGTTCTCAGGAGCCTCCCAAGTCCCACATCTCTGGCTACAAAGAGCACTGACTACACAGCAGACTGGCTGGCTGGCACTGATAATCCCTTCAGACTGATCACTATGGTGCTTGTGAGCTTGCAGCTGAAGTCATAGATGCTTTCATCAGCAAGTATTTGTTACATCATGTAAAAAGCTATGGCCTTGGCGGGGACAGGGCGGGTCATAGGGAGAATAAGAAATGAGGAAAGGAAACAGAATTTTCCACATTTAAAATCATCATTTGAACACTCAAACTAGAAAAAGGAGAACTTCAACATGACAAAGGCCATATATGAAAACCCACAGTGAACATCACACTCAATGGTGAAAGACTTTTCCTCTAAGATCAGGAAAACAAGGATGCTTGCTTTTGCCACTTCTGTTCAACATAATATTGGAAGTTTTAGCTAAAGCAACTAGGTAAGGAAAAAAACATCCAAAATGAAAAGGAAAAAGTATAATTATCTCTGTTGACAGATCACATGATCTCATGTAAAAAACCCCACAGTTAAAAAAAAAATTAACTGTACCTGAAAGCTATAAAATGTTGCTGAAAGAAATTTTAAAAGACATAAAGACTTCCTGTGTTCATGGATAGGAAGACTCACTACTGATGTCAGTTCTTCCCAACTTCATCTACAGATTCAGTGCAATCTCAAACCAGCAAATTATTTTGTGGATGGTGACAAAATTAAAGTTTATTATGGAAAGGCAAAAGACCAAGAATAGCAAATACAACATTGAAGAAGAACAAAATTGAAAGACTGATATTACCCAACTTAACTTATTACAAAGCTATAGTACCAAGACAATGTGCTGGCGAAAGAAAGAAAACAGATCAGTGGAAGAGAATAGAGCACCCAGAAATAGACTCATACAAATATAGTCAACTGCCTTTGACAAAGGAGCAGAGACAATACAATGGAGAATGGATAGTATTTTCAACAAATGGTACTAGAACTGGACATTCACAGGCCAAAAAAAAAAAAAAAAAAAAAATCTAGACATAGACCTTTTATTCCCTCCACAAAAACTATTAAAATAGATCAAAGGTATAAAACTTTCAGAACACAGGAAAAAATCCAGATGACCTTGGGTTTGGCAATGGCTTTTTAGATGCAACACCAAAGGCATAATCCATGAAAGAAGGATTTATAAGTTAGACTTCATTACAATTAAAAATTTTTGCTCTGTAAAAGATACTGTCAAGAGAATGAAAAGACAAGATACAAAATCAACATACAAAAGTTAGTTGCACTGCTACACACTGACAATGTATTCATTGTTAAGTATTTCCAAAAAGGAAATTAAGATAATTTCATTTATAGTAGCATCAAAAAGAATAAAATACTTAGGAATACATTTAAGGAGACAAAAGACTTATACCTGAAAACTACAAAACATTGCTGAAATAAATTTTTAAAGACATCCTGCATTCATAGATTGGAAGACTTGATGTTGTTAACATGATTATTACTACCCAAAGCAATCCACAGATTCAGTGCAATTCTTATCAAAATTCCAATAGAAATTTTTGCAGAAATGGAAAACCCATCCTAAAACTCACATGGACTCTTAAGGAATCCTGAATAGCCAAAACAATTTTGAAGAAGAACAAAAAAGTTATAGGACTCACACTTTTGATTTTAAAACTTACTACAAAGGTACAGTAATCAAACAGTATGGCACTGACATAAGAACAGACATACAGACTAATGAAATGAACTCTTACATATACAGTCAACTGATTTTTGACAAGAATGACAAGACTACTCAATGGGGAAAGGACCATCTTTTCAACAAATGGTGCTGGGGAAACTGGATATCAACATGCAAAAGAATTAAGTTGGACAGTTACAACATATACAAAAATTAAAATAGATCAAAGGTCTGAAACATAAGTCTTAAAACTATAAAACTCTTAGAAGAAAACATAGGGAAAAAGCTCCATGACAGTAGATTTGGCAATGATTTTGATATGACGCCCAAAGCACAGGCAACAAAAGAAAAAATAGATAAGGTGAACTTTATCAAAATTAAAAAATTGTGTATTGAGGGACACTATAAAGAGAAACCACAGAGTGGGAGAAAAATATTTGCAAATCATGTATCTGGATAAGGGATTAATGGCCACAATATATGAAGAACTCCTAAAAACAACAAACTGATTCAAAAATGGGCAAAGGACAATAATAGACATCTCTCCAAAGAAGCACAAATGACCAATAAACACATAAAAAGATGCTCAACATCACTAATTACTAAACTCAACGACAACAACAAACTGATTCAAAAATGGGGAAAGGACTTTAATAGACTTTTCTACAAAGAGGCACAAATGACCAACAGACACACAAAAAGATGTTCGACATCACTAATTACTAGGGAAATGCAAATCAAAACCATAGTGACATACTACTTCACAGTTACTAGGATGGCTGTTATTTAAAAGACAAAAACAAAAGCAGAAAATAACGTGTTAGCTAGAAAGTGGAGAAATTAAAACCACTGTACCAGCCAGGTACGGTGGCTCATGCCTGTAGTCGCAGCACTTTGGGAGGCTGAGGCAGGTAGATCACGAGGTCAGGAGATCGAGACCATCCTTGCTAACATGGTGAAACTCCGTCTCTACTAAAAATACAAAAAATTAGCCGGGCGTGGTGGTAGGTGCCTGTATCCCAGCAACTTGGGAGGCTGAGGCAGGAGGATGGCATGATGAACCTGGGAGGCGGTGGTTGCAGTGAGCTGAGATCACACAACTGCACTCCAGCCTGGGCGACAGAGCAAGACTTCATCTCAAAAAAAAAAAAAAAAAAAACCGTTGTACCTTGCTGGTGGGAATGTAAAATGGTATAGCCACTGTGGAAAAATTTGACAGTAACTCAACAAGTTAAACAGAATTATGATCCAGCAATTCCACTCTTAGGTATATACCCAAAAGAACTGGAAGCAGGAACTTAGATACATGTACACCAGTGTTCATAGCAGCATTATTTATAATAGCCAAAAGGTGGGAACAACCCAAGTGTCAACAGATGAATGGATGAACAGAATGCAGTCTATACATACAGGAGAATATTAAGCCTCAAAAAGGAAGTAAATTCTGAGATATGCTACAACATGGATGAACCCTGAAAATATGCTAAGTCAAACACAAAGGGATAAATACAGTATGATTCCGCTTATATGAGGTGCCTAGAATAGACAAATTCATAGAGTGTAGAATAACAGTTACTGAGAGTAAGAGAGGAAAAATAATGAGTTACTGTTTAATGGGTACAGAGTTTCTGTTTAGGATGACAGAAATTTTTAGAAGTAGTA